CCTCCTCCTCCTCTTCTTCTTCTTCTTCTTCTTCTTCTTCTTCTTCTTCTTCTTCTTCTTCTTCTTCCAAGACAGGGTTTCTCTGTGTATCTCTGGCTGTCCTGGAACTAATTTTGTAGACTAGGCTGGCCTTGAACTCATGGAGATCTGCCTGCCTCTGCCCCCTGGGTGCTGGGATTAAAGACATGCACCACCACTACCTGGCTGCCTTATTTTTTCTTAGATAAATTCTGTTTTGTTACTGAGGACCCCAAACCCTCCTTTCACCTTCTGAACTGAGGACTTTTTGATATAAGTGGTTTCACTTTATGTCTAAAGGGTCTGGGAGTCCCTTTCTGTGCAAGAGGACATCATTTGAGCCCATCAGAGGTCAAAATTGACTTTTTATTTAATTATTTTCATATTTTTGTTATCTATATCTATATCTATACATGGTCATACATGTGCCATGTTGCAGATGTGGACATTCAGAGGGACAATTTGTGAGAGTTGGGTCTCTCTTTTCACCTGTGGATTGTGATGGGTCATGCTTGATGACAAACTCCTAGCTAAGTTTCCAAATTGTGAAAAGGAACTAAAGAAAAGCTTAGACTGGGTGTGGTGGGGCACATCTTTCATCCCAACACTGGGAAGACAGAGGCTGGTAGATCTCTGAGTTTGAGGCCAGCCAGGGCTACAGAGCAAGTTTCAGGACAGCCAAACCTAGGCAGTAAAGGACAGGAAGCTGGTGAAGATGTAATTGAATGAAGGGGCCGTGTTCCAGTCACAGTAAGCAGCAGAACTTGGCAATTTCAGTCATGTGGTCCTGGCTTTAGAGCTAAGGACAGAAGAAACTGGTATGGAATTTGCCTCTGTGCCTTAAGAAAGCCTCTGAGGTCAGGTAGGTATCTGGGGTGTCCCTGAATGGAGGCCTAGTAGAGAGGCCATTGCCTGAAGCTCTAAAGTTGAAGCCTGGGTTACCTTGGAAGACCCAAGATGTTAGAGATGGCAGAGTCATGGGATACCTGCCAAGGAGAGCTGCTAACACGGAGTGGAACCAGCCCAGGAGAGAGAAGTGTGTTTCTGTCAACAAAGCTGGAAGGAGTTGGAGATCTGAAGAGTGTTTTGACATCAGACATGGAGATAGAGTTTGGAGTTTGCCCAGCTAGCTATTGGTCTTGTTTTGGTTCAGTATTTTCTCACTATACTTCCTTTCCTACATTTTGGAATGGTAATATATTCTGTGACATTATATGTTGGAAGTATGTGATCTACTTTTTTATTGTGATTTTTTTAAGGGGTTTATAGTTAAAGATTGCATGAACTTTGAATGTTAAAGCATTGTTGAGATTGTGATCGACTTGGGGACTTTTAAAGTTGAGTTAAATGAATTTTTAATTATGATATTGTTACAAGCTTATGGGGGTCAGGGAGTGGAATATGGTAGTTTGAATGTAATATGCTTCCATAATCTCATAGAGAGTGGTACTGTTAGGAAGTGTGGCTTGTTGCAGGAAGTGTGCCACTGTGTGGGCATGTTTTGAGGTTTCCAATGCTCAGGATACCATCCAGTGTCTTAGTTGACTTCCTGTTGTCTGCAAGATGTAGGACTCTGAGCTACCTCTCCAACACCATGTCTGCCTGCTTGCCATCATGTTCCATCTCATGATGATAATGGACTGAACCTCCGAAACTGCAGTTTGCCACCTCAATTTAATTTTTTTCTTTGTAAGAGTTGCCATGGTCATGATGTCTCTTCACAGCAATAAAAACCTTATTTTTTTTTTTGCCTTCTTAAATTTCAGAGAAAAAAGAGAAGAGATTGCTATGACATCTTAACTCATTTGGGCAGATAAAGTAAAACCCCATAAGCTTGGGTGTTTTATAAACAATAGAAATATATTTCTCACAGTTCTCAAAGGTAGGGGACCCAAGTTTAGAGCACAGGCATTCTTGGCACATAGTGAGGGCAAGTTCTTAACCAGAGAGAGTGTTTTCTCCCTGCATCCCCTCATAGCAGAAGAGGTGAAGGAGCTTCCTTGGTCCTTCACTAAAAGGACAGTAATCCTACTCACGGGGTCTGTTTCTTATGACCTGGTCATCTCCCCAAAGGTCCCAACTCCTCCTGCCATCCCCTTGGGAGTTAAGATTTCAACCTATGAATTTTGGAGGACATAAGCACCCATATCAGAGTATATGAGAAATAGGGCCACTTATCAAAAAGCGTGGCTCCCTTCTGAAGCATATTGCAGCAAGACTGCTGCAGGTTCTGCCTTGCCCAGTTTTTCTACAGAGACAGGCTAGTCTACAAGTAATAGAGGCAACTTTGGATGACCTTTGTATAAGTAAAAATACAGGATGTCCCTTTCTTGGGGCACAACCTATGCAGGGTGTCCAGGGCAATGAGAGATGGACAGGAGCAGCCTTCTACCCGCTCACCTGTTGGGGAGGCTGCCGTTGCCATACGACGGCCATACTGCATTTTTAACATTATTTTTTAAAAATTTCCTTTGCATTAAAAACTTACATAAAAATTACCTTTGTGTCCTTCTGAGGTATGCGTTTTTAAGACACAGCATCCTAAGATAGGAGTTTGTTACTGTGTTGGGCATTTGTTTGTTTGGGGAGTGGGGAGCCCTTTTAGTTATGGCAATAGGAGTTTAATTTAGGCAGTTCAGCAGGTGAGGGAAGCACTGAGAATACAGACAGTAGATGAGACAGTCTAGAGGTGTCATTCCTGGAAACACGGGCACCTCAGAAAGGGTGAACAGAAGGAGCATCTGGTGTCAAGGGGCAGTCATCTTACAGATACAACACCGTGAGCGTGAGGGCTGTCTTGGGGTTTCTATCGTTGCAACAAAACACCACGACCAAAGACACTTGGGGAGGAGAGGGTTTGTTTAGCTCCCCTTCCTCTGCACTGTTCCTCACTGAAGAGAGTCAGGACAGGGACTTAAATAGGCAGGCTCCTGATGCACAGGCTGTGGAGCGGTGCCGCTTACTAGCTGGCTCCTCATGGGCTGCTCAGCCTGCTTTCTTAAAGAACCACAAGACCAGGGATGGCCCCACCCACAATGGGCTGGATCCTCCTCCACCAATCACTAAAGAAAGAAAATGTCCTACTAGTCCGATAGCGATAGTCCAGTCTTAAAGAGGCATTTCTCTGCTGAGGTTCCCTCCTCTTAGGTAACTCTAGTTT